TTAATTAACGTAACAGTTAGTTATACATTACAAATTACACAATTACACGACATTTTTACCACACTTCTATAAAATGCCAAGGTTTATATAAGAAACTAGATAAATTAAAAAAAAATGCTTGGGTCTCTCTTTTGTCTCCCCTCGCCCAACCATCTCCTCCCTCCCCAACATCAACATTATCACTTTTACATATTATAATCCAAAATCCATACCAATATTTATTTTAATCAAAATGCCATACATTTATCACATCACACTTTCTAAGCATGTTCATTTACCTAAGTCAACACACAATTTCTCCCTCTCTCACCCTTCTTAATGCTTAGCCCAATCTCCCCACAATCTCTCCCTCTCTCACCCTTCTTAATCCTTAGCCCAATCTCCCCACTCCACCCTGACACTTTGAAAGCCTTCACTTCTATTCTCACATTCTTTCAACATCCTCTCATGTTAGTTCAACTTTCCTCCAGGTGTTTAGCAAAACTTTTTGTAAGTTCTCCATACACATTTCAAGTTATATTACCATTTATCATCATCTTTTGGTAAACTTATTCATATTTTGAACAAAAAACCCTAGGCAAGAGCTTCATGTTTCAAGAAGGTGTTAACTCCAAGACTTGATACAAGTCTTCTAACCATTTATTTTGGTCTCAAAATATAGTATGTTGAATATGTTTGGTTATTTTGCTATAAAGGTGTTTTACATAAATAAATGTGTTATGATAAGCTAAGTTTCATGTTTACTTTGAGAAAATAACATATAAAAATCTTACACTTCAAAATGAACAACAAAAAAAGGTTCATAATATTACTTTGTTGGTAAAAATAGTTATAAAAAGTACACCATATGATTTTTGGCAAAAAGACAAGATTTTAAATGTTGCTATCACTTTCATAAAATGACCAAAACCAGTAAGTTGTCATCACTTATTAAAAAACTTGTTTTGTTAGATTTATCGGTTATATTTAGTGCCTTATATGTAAGAAAACTACTTGTTTCAATTATATATATATATATATATATATATATATATATATATATATATATATATATATATATATATATATATAATCTTTTAGGCATAAATACGATAACACGATGAATACACTTATATAAATTATAATATGTATAATTTATGTAACGACCGACAACTATACGAAAAATATACAAATATAATTATATAAAAATATAAATATTACATACTATAATTATCATGGATATTTTTGATAATTACAAATGCTAAGGAGATTTCATAATAATTACAAACAATGAACAAGATCACGTTGAATGGTTATGTGAGACATTTTATTCATAATACTAAACAAGAATTGGGGTAAGTCCTAGATTTTAACTTAAATATTAAATGAGCGGAATAGTTGTGTATAGATCTATGAGAATTACAATCCCCACCTATAGTTGTTCGCTACAGCTACGACTGACGAGTCAGTGGTGACAAATGTCTTAACATATAACGATGCTTGAACAACGTCTAGAAGGCACACGATATGGTTCATAGGAGGGTTATAATCACTTGTGAACATCTATTGTTTTAATAATATCCTCTTTGGTCTTACAAAAATATGAAACTACATTTTCATACTCGATATAAGTAAAGATTTACTATTATATTATGGTTTTATGGTTTCAAAACTATATCGATATTTAGAAAAATATTTTTTCCCTGTTACGAACACTATTAGTTTTACAAAGGAAATAATCAGTTTTCTTACTACAAAATCTTATGAAGTCACCAACGTAATGTTGAAACTTTAAGAAATACTATATTCTCAGGTATTCATTAGTCGAAAGGGACTAAACTTTTGGGAAGTAGTGCGAAGACGTCACACTTATTTATTTTGTTTTCATACAATAATTAGATTTGAAACAATTAAAATTTGGCACATGTAAGTTATCTAATTATAATGTATGATCGTATTCAATTATTGTGATATTGTGTTTCGTTCCATCTTCAAACGATTCTGCCATCCGATTTGGGGTGTGACAAAAATCATGATTATAAGGTTCAAGTAAATGAAACGAATAATCGAGAAGGTAAGTAGTGTTTCAGTCTTTGATTAAGAGTAAGTAGCTCAATTACAAATTGACGTAATAATTTATAAAAGACTTACCCTTACCACCGACTAACATCCCTATTTATAGGAAACAAAAAAGGGAGTTAGTAAGGAAGATACCCAATAAGGTTATGATCCTTATGCAATAACAAAAAACTAAAGTGTTAAGCTAAGTCATTTTGAAACCTAAGGTGTACAAAATTACGAAACAGACATATCATAATATTACATTAAAGACAAGATAGAACATTTAAACCTTTCGCAATAGAGAAACACACCATAGAATAAATGATTCTGAGAACAAAAAATCTCCCCCTTTTTGTTGAGTCTACGAAAGAAATATTCAACTACTCTCAACAAAAATTAGAGGATCATAACCAAGCGATATGTTCCAAGCTATAATCCACTACTTTAATACATCGAATATAGTCTTTAATTCATCCTTCAAGTTGTACTTGTATAGCTCAATCTTTGTAATGATTCCATTCAGAGTTTTTGTTTCATAGGAATGACTGTCTTGTATATAAAACATGTAATTTTTGTTCTTCTTGTTCACCAAGGTTTGATACACAACTCCCCAAGGTTCACTTTTAATTAGCCCATCCTTCATTTTCTGAATATTATCATGTTGATCATCAGGACTAATTGTAGGCTTCTTCTTCAAAATTTCTACCAGTTCGATATCCATCTTTCTAATTTCAATGAAATAAAATCTTATCATTTTTTTCAGATGGATAATATGATTCACATACTTTGATTTTTCTCGGGAAAAAATTGACAACAACATGAAAAAATCACATGGATTCATGATAGGAAAATCAGTAAAAGAAAATAGAACCTCATCCCTCAAAGATTTTAATTTGTAGTTGATAAACACACATTTAGATAGGATTCAGTTTGACAATAAAAATCAGCTGATATTTTCTCTAAACCCCAAACATCTTGATGTGGTCTATATTATGAAGGATAAAACTCAAAAATCTTTGTTTTCAAACCACCATTTGATAGTGGAATTCTATAGGTGTTGAAATCATCTACATAAGAACGATCTCAGAATCATACGAAAATCTTTCTGAAAATCATTCGTGTTTCTAATAACAAAGGATGCTCTTGGATTTAACAAATACTTCTCAAGAAATGGAGGAAAAAGAGAAGGCCAGAGCTTTTGTTGCTCAAGTGATAAGGGATCATCAAGTGTGGTCATTAGGAGATGAAGATGAAGAGATTGATACCAACAAGAAAAAAAGGAAGATTTTCATGATGGTAACCACCGAAGAGGATGAAACGATGAACTTGCAGAAGAACTACTGTTGTATGGCCAAATATGGCACTCTCAGCATCGTCGAGCAGGTAAAAATTATGATCCATTCTAATAATGATAATATCATGATTGTGAACCTTATTTAGAAAGACTTAATGACACCTGTGATGCCGTCCTTTTAGACTACAACAAAGCCTTAGATGAACATAGCTTCCCAAGAGATGTACCATGTGAGAGGAAGACTAGAAGACAAAAGAATTAAGGTTGTCATGCTAGAAAAAGACTTATTGTTACAAAAGGATGCTAGGATGTTAAGTGAAACTCAATTAGATATCGCTTTTAGTCAACGAGATTTAGCCCGAAAAGAGACTGTACATTTGAATCTTTTAATTGAAAAACTCTTTAAAGAAAGTGAAGCGATTGAGAATCTTGTTAACAATGGGACTGTAGACAATACGTATAATTGGGGATGGTCCAATGGGTACTCAACCGATGAAACCTCTTATCCCCGATTCAATGTTGAACGTCACTATGTCCTACCGGATAGACCTTTTAAATTTCCAGTCAACAACAAAATGTATCCTGAAGACATCCAATCTCAATTGGGTAGACTTCGTGAACTTAGTAACAATTGTGTCCTTGAGGAAATCCTTTCTGAATCCTCGGGTATTTCAACTGAAACCATACCCATTGTTGGCACAATTTGTTCTGGCTCTCAATCAAGTTCAGATATTGATGAAGAAATTCTCATGGAAGAACCTAAATTCAACACTGACTGTTCACTCTTGTTGTCCAAAACTTGTCTCATTCAAAAGTCATCCTTGACTTACTTTGCGGTAGGTCAATCTTCTATACCGCAAACCCCAGTCCAATGCACAACCACTCTTCAATCTATCTTGCATGAATTACCAATAAATAGTTTTGAATTTAGTCAATGTTCTCAAGATCAAGAAATATCCAGTTCTGATGAGTCAAGTCCTTGAATTTTACCTCTAAATTCCAAAAAACCTCAGCTAAATAACACTGATGTAGTCTCACCAAAAATTCAAGCAAAAATGGCTTTATAAAAGGAGATCAAATCCCGGCGTGAAAAGCAGGAAGCTGATTACAGAAACAAAATTTTCAAAACTTCAGTCAAAGCTCCAAACAAAAAGAATTTCAAAACACTCGTCACTGCAAAAAAAAATAAAAAAATAAAAAATAAAAATAAAAAATAAAAAACTTTCAAGAACTACTACAGTTGATGGATCTTTCAAAAAGGATCAATCAGTGACAAAAGGTTCTAATTTAATAAAATTTCAAAAGAATGTCACTTCATTTCAACAATATACCTTAAACGATCCAAAATGGAAATGTATTTTACCAACACCTGAACCTTCAAAATCACATCAGTCATCATTCATCAGGTCAAAACCTAAGACAAGTTCACGTGACAAAACTTTTTCAAGTCCCAAGGGCACCGCAACCCAATATCACCCAAGGACCGATCACAAGACTCCAACCACACCTTCCAGCCCATTGACAAAATACAGTGTCTAGACAAACACGAAAAATATTGCCTTTGGATTTTATCCATTGGAATTCCCACAAATGCTTCTTCCTCGCAACATCCTAAATTAGAAAGAACTTATATGTCAACACATCAACAAGGTCGATAAAGAAAAAGATGACAAGCAAAAAGGCTTTGGTGAAGCGCCTAATAGGCGTTGTGGCTGACTTAAATTCTAAAATAGAACGTATATTACAGAAAAAAGATGAACCAGATACAGCATTTGGAGAGGACGAGGACATGGTAAATGAAGAGGAGGAAGAAACATATTATTATCGTACACAGTTGGAGTATGATGATACATCTACTTATGGTTTGGAGGGGGAAGTTGGGCATACATGTACGCATGTTGAGCCGTCACCACACGTGGGCGAACATCACAAAAAAATAGTGACTCCTATTGTTAGGCCGCAACGAAAGAGGGGTATTGCATGGTATCAGTGGGTGCCGTTCACAGAGATACAAAACTCATATTTTAATTTTGGTGTATTTATAAAATATTACGTTATTGATAATTATTTAACATTTTAATTTTTTAGATGCCATCCACACCAAAATTGAAGAAAATCACAAAACCAAGGAAAAAATAGGAGTGGAGAGTCTTGAAAAAGCAAATGAAGACATTGTGAATGAACAAAGTAATGATGTTTCAAATCATCTCCTGTTAGACAATCTTTATAATGCTAATACGTTGGTTTTGTGGAAATAATGGAATATGATATCTTCCAAGCTCAACACTACACACAACACTACACACAGACTGCATATACTCCCACTGGATGTGGAGTTTTGGTCAAGGTGACTTGCAGTTAATGACTCATAGTGGTTAATTTCTTCATTAACATTCGTTAAATTTTAACTATTTTTTAGACGATAATTTATAAAAATAATTGTAACATTTTGATCTTAAAATGTACAGTATATTGCGATATGGAGTGGCTTGCTCATGGAAAGACGGCCGACGAACGCAAGGTGGACGATACACCCTCAAGAACTCAATTTGTAACCTAGAAAATCATTTTTTAGGAATGTAGAAAATGGCGTTGGAGGCTATCCTAAATGGAAAGATGTGGATATGGTTAGTTAAGTTTAATATATATATATATATATATATATATATATATATATATATATATATATATATATATATATATATATATAGTATTACTGAATTTACGATTATTTAATTTTTTTGCGGGTTCTATTCCCCATAAATGTTGTGGTGTCCATTGGTTTTTGGCAGTGCTACATTTAAATACCTGGAAAGCACACATTTATGATTCAACATGATCTATGAATTTCTTCTCAAAGTACTTGATTGGTGGAGAATTCAAAAGTTTTGGGGATAATATTATCTCAGAGCTAGATGTGATTGAGTACTGGAACGATTTCCTAATGGACACAAAGCCAATGCAACTATGGAGTTTGTTGATACTGTAGACGCGCCACAACATGAATATATTGAAGATAGAGGGGATTGTGGAGTTTTAGAATGCATGTTTATGGAAATGATTGTTTCGGGGGTACCGATAGAGATTGATAAGCCACGTGAGATGCGGGATTTCTCTATGGAAATAGGATGACAAATATTATTTGGGATACTATATAACTTGATTTTAGGAATTTTGTATATATTATTATGAAATACATGTTTTTAATAATTTTTTTTAATACAAATATGTGTTTTTTTTGTTATTATATTTGTTTCATGGACTGCCAAGTCACTACCGCAGACTGTCATTTCACTATAAAATGACTCAAAAATATGTATCATTTCATCTCATCTATATCATTTCATCTACTTTTTATCTTTTACAATGGGTTCAAAACCATGGACTGCTGAGGAGTATTTTCTTCTAACTCGTGCATATATTCATGTCTACGAGAACAACAGTTTGGATGATACAATGTTTTGGCTCCTTTTAACCAATACCTTCAACACTGACGCTGAAACCACCTTAGAAAACCATCGCACCACGCTTGATATAGCAGCAAAATTGTATGAACTGAAAACAGAAGTTGTGTGATTACACGACCTTTATAAGAAGATTGAAGACATATGTGTGAATGATACTGAGGAAGACATCTTGGAGGTGGCTAAAGAAGAATACAAATCCATTAGCAATGGATAGATTTTCGATTATGAAGCCACTTGGAATATTTTGAAAAATCTCATGTATTTTTAACTAGTACTGTGTTTTGTATTGCACTTGTAGTGCTTTATTTATATGTAATATGGATGATATTTTCGATTATGAAGCCCCTTCGATTATGTCATTTGTTGTTTCCAATTTCGTTTTGTGGCTTTGGGATGCGTGATATGTAACCTTTAAAGTAAATTTTTGTTATTTGAAGTTGTTATATGGCTAATATTCTTATCTTTACGTGCAGGTTCATATGTTTCTCACGTCTATGATACCAATCATATTCGTTGGTCATGTACCTCTAGTTGGGACGTACATAACATACATGTACATTGCGGTTGCTTTAGATGGAAATCATGAACCCCTTCTCATAGTGTTTGCTTTGGGAAGCATAAACTGTGACGAGTCATGGTTATGGTTCATTAGGAGGCTGAAAGAATGTTTAGGTGACAATACGGAAGTTGGTTTCATAAGCCATATGTCTGATTCCATAGACATCGCAATGCAGAGAATCTACCTAATTCATATCATGGCTATTGTTGTAAAAATATAGCAAAGAAAATACACGCTTCCACCTGAAGCATTACAGTTGTGGAGCAATTGTTCTAGAAGACATGTAAAGCATATAATATGTTTGATTTGTATGCGTGTTTGAACAACTTACAAAATGAGGTGAATGGGAATGATCTTGACTGGCTTGAGAGTATTCCCATTGCAAAATAGGTTCGGCCTTTTTTCCCTAAAGTACGTTTCAATGTTAAATTCATTGACATTCCCGATGTTGTCAATTAGATAAGAGCAAACAGGCATGAGTTACCAATAACAACAATCATTCAAATGGTCCACGACTCGATGCAAGGAGTGTATGTTCAATGTGATACATCCAGAGGTAACTATACATTATGACATCATTCAAATGGTCAAATTATATGTTATTATACATTATGACATCATAATTTTTATTTCACAGGGGATTTTCATGGTCTTGTAACCCTTTATGCACTTAAGGTGCTTCATAAAAGATTTATCCACTCCGATGGTTATAGGGATAGGCATATTGTTGGAGAAAGATATGAAGTGAGTAATTATTTGACCACCGAATCCGTGGAATTAGATTGTGGTATTTGTACTTGCGGGAAATGGCAAAAATGTGGTATACCTTGTGATCACGCTATAGCATCACTACAAAGGCTTGAAATTGAAGAAATCCATCAAATGGTAAATTTAAAATTAACTACCGCGGTGTATCGAAATTGTTTTCAAACTGATATGGTGAATCCTATTCCTATCCTTATGCATTGGGAAATACCAACTGAAAGTGTTGTCATCTTACCTCCACGACAATTTACTTTAATTGTAATGTATGGATCACAATGAATATTAGTTTGTATTCAGTTCTATGTTAACCTTAGTTTTGGTCCGTTGGCGTTGTTTAGTTTTTAATAAATAATGTTTACCTTTTTATAAATTATTGTAGTGTATGGATGACAACGAATTTCCTAGTAGATGAAAAACACACACGCCATGATGAGCGTGTGGGAAAGCACTTTCAATACTAACCCCAATTGCATCGGCCCTATCAGTTACAAAGGTCAAATCTTGACAATCACCAACGCATTCATATAGCTTTTCAAAAAACCATGTCTAAGTAAGACCACTATTTTTTTTTACATATTCCATGCACAAGGGGCACTATCCGGTTGTTCCCATCCATAGCTACTGCATGCAATATGGTTCCCTTAAAACCCCCCTTCATATGGGCACCATCCATAATTATGACTTTACGATAAAAGCGTTTGAACGCTTGTATCTGCAATATATTAAAATGGATCACATAAACACTCTACATTTTTTTTACAAATAAGTATATATTAAATAAGAACAAGTTTATTGTATTTACTGTGCTCCCGATGGCATAAAAACAACACTTGAAACAATCTTCAGAATCTGTTTGTGTATAGGCCAGTATATCGGAATTATGCTTCTTCAAATTGTGAAAATAAATAGGAAGTTTGGAAAAACATTCTTCAGAGAATCCCAACAACAGTTCCATAGCATATTGTTTTGAACGCCAAGCTTGTTTGTAACTTACATTGATTTCCAACAAAGCATTCAAATCCCTTGATATTTCATTAGGCCTCCAAACCTTCGAACGAGTTTTTCCCATAATCTCATGCAATATAGTACCCATGATTTTTTTATTTGCATGCTTATGATTTAGGTGTGTCTGTAATGACGAACATGTGTGCATGTTGTTGAAAGTCCTAATTTTAAATTCATTAGTCGAATCAATGCGTTTTGCATATAAACGCTAACTACAGTTCTCAATTTCACAATATACCTCGTAACGGGTTTTGTTAGAATGTTTGGTATTAAACATAAACTTTTCTCTGATTGCTTAAAGACTCAAAGCAAATATTAGTTGTTTTTTGTTATCATACGTTTGACGAACAAAGATATCATCATTTGGACCTAAACTGTGACATGGTCCAAGTTCAATAATAGGATCATGACAATCACGTATAGGAGGCATACCGTAAAAGATGTTTGAAGCTTTTTTTCGTGTGTGTATTCATTATCTACCAACCTTCATTTGACTCTTAATCGTCTGACAAAGTTTTGTCACGTAGTCTTCCAAACCCATATAAATTTTCTTCTTCCACCGTATTCATTTCCACAGTTTCTTCTTATGGACACTCTTCAACATTATCAGATACACTATTTCTAACATTGTATGGTACAATCTTGTCAACCGCTTCTGTCTGTTCGACCCATCCCTCAAACACCTCAAAATACAAATGCACAATCTCCTTCGTTTTAAACATTACATTTATGAGTTGATGAACATCTATTTCGTCTACAATATTCATAACATACCCATGAACCGGGTGTTGAAATGACAAATGATATATTATTATTGAACGTAATAACCTTACTTTTAACCAAATCAAACAATATTTGAAGGACAAAATTAGGCGGAAGCGGTAAACCTAAGTTGTTAAACTTTGGTCTAACGTATGTGTTAATTCCATTACTCATTTGCCAAAAAACCCTAGTACATAAAATAACAAAACTCATATTTTCTTTGAAAAAAAAAAATCAACCCTAAAACCGATTCAATATTGCCAATAGATAAAAAAAAATGAACAAAATCATTTATATCACAAAAAACCATCGCTAATATCCTTGTAACAACCCATTACGTGGAGATGTTAAGGCCTCCGTAGAGCCCTCGTAACGACCTCTGCGGAGGATTTAATGAACATCCAAAACAACCACTCTGTGGAGGGTTTAATGCCTTCACGGATTTATCTATGATGACAAACATTTTCAGACTGGAAATCGTACAACATTTTTAGTTCCATGGAGAATTGGTCATTTTACGGGGCCCGTAGAGAGTCCTCGGCGGAATGCATGTCTATAGTCGGAAATGTTTTTTTTTCATGACTAAATTTTGAAATACCCCCTCCCTCCCCAAAAAAAATAATAACTATAGCCGATATTTTCCCTTTAAAGTATTTGTTTCGGGATTCGGTAAAAATAAATAAATAAATAAAAATTAAAAAAATGGAACATTAACGGCCGGTTATCTACAGATATGGGATCCTAAATAACTCATCTTAGATTTTTCTAAAATATGGATTCACAAAATATATAGTTATTTTCTATTTTCTATTTTCTATTTTCTATTTGTATTGTTACATTTTATCTAGTTAACAAAAATTTTAGCCTGGTGGTATCAGGTGGTGCCCTCCCTCTTTGAGGTCGAGGGTTCAAATCCCGTTGTGAACACAGATAGAATTAGGTATTAGTTTAGGAGTACGTTAGTATATTTGTATTTACCGATTAAAAAAAAAAAGTTTACAAAAAAAGAAAATAGCTACATTGAGAAAAAAGACAGAAGTTATTTCGAATAAAGAAAAAAAGGAAAAGGGCAAAAAAAGGAAATTTTGGGGATAGTTGAGGTGTTCAAAAATGGTGTGATCCGTACAAGGAAAATAATTGGGAGAATCTGGGAAAAGAGGGAACAACCAATCACAAGCCGAAAACACATTTGAAACTTATGATTTACATACTAAAAAGTCAATTATACCCTCTGGACCACCATCAATCCATTTCACCTTGAATTTCTATAGTTGTTCTTTTTTTCTTTTATAATAAAATATGTTTCTTCTTTTTAAACAAGTTATTAATGTAAACAGTATCAAAGTGGTTTTTATTATTTATTTATTTTTAATATAGATCAAAGATTATTCGTTATATCCATCACTAATTATTATAGTGGTGTGTCACGTTATTATCATATTTTATTTCACTAATCATGAGATACTTATCACTAAATAAATAATTTTACTTCACTTTTTTATTAAATTTAATTCAAAAATACATTAAAATCATATTTTTTTCTAAATACTGGTTTTTCATTAAATTAAAATACCACAATACATTCAAGAAAACAGAATAAAACATATATTTTTTTAAACAAACATTACTTTAATTTAAAACACACAACATAAAATAAAATAAAAACATAAAATGCAACCACCAACAACTTAAACTAGTTTTTAAACCTTATTATTTTTAATGACTGAATGTTAGGCATTCCTTCAATTTTAACCAAGTTTTGATGTGTTTAAACGGTGTATGTTTCGTGTCTTCATATTGGTGTTTGACCATAGCAAACGTCTCGTATTCCTATACGTTGTTTATAAAAAAGTTATAAATTATATCGAACTCAAGGCATTTAACCCTCATTCCGGGAAACTTCGAACATATTTCATCAAGACTACGACTTTGCAACCCATTAAATCATGAAAAACGTTTCCAACTTTTACCCAAAAATTAGGAGGCTTATAGCATTTGGGTCTTCTGAAACCACCACTTATACTAGTGTTAAATTCTCTTCTTTATTTTCTAACAAATTCAACCTTTTAGGAGCCATTGGTTTTGAATTATGAAACAAACAAGTGTTTGATTGTGAATAAAATGAGAGGAATTATGTGAGTAGAATGAAAGAAAATTTGTGGTATTTATAGAAGATGGTGTTTGAAAGGTATATATATATATATATATATATATATATATATATATATATATATATATTGTAAGTCCCTGAATTCAGGTCTATCAAAGTATCAATGCAATCGTTTGATTTAATGTGAAATCTTAATCAAAAAATGATACAAAACAATCAATTGGATATATCAAGAACACGTTTCAATAACATGAATGCACACAATTCTGATGAATAACTATCAAGTACACTCAATCACACATCAGCTGTGAATCACTAGTATTCACCAAAAACACATTTTCTTTGAACGATTATACACAGACCATATATATATACTAAACCTATAACCTAAAACCCATACATAATAAACCCACCGAGAACACACTAAGCCCACCAAAATCACTAGGTGATTTCGGTCCAAAACCGAGAACAACATAGTACATTCAAAACAAAGCATAAACCACCAAATATAGCCCAACAATCCCCCATTGGTTTATTGCTTTATATTCTCTTCAACGTTTGTCTACAAGATGTACATCTGCTTGGTCAAATTTCACTGCCCACAACTTCTTGTCGATAATTGTAGCTACCATTCCAGTGAAAGCTTTCGCGGCAGCTTCAAATAGTTCATTCTCTACGATAATCTGAAAGTTTAATAAAGTGTAGATATCACATTCTCCAAACTTCAACAAATCTTTGGGATCAATAATACGAAACTGGTTTTTCTTCAGCTTGATCACCACCATTGTAGTAGCATCATCATAAACCCAAAATTTTATTATATCCAAAGTGTCTGCGCTTGGGAAGAGGAATCATTTTGCTTGCTTTGTGGGTGGCCATATGACATTCACCAATGTATTGTTTGTGTGTGGATCCATGATACCATTGGCCTTCTTATTAAACGATGAAGCAGTCTTTAAGTCTTCAAAGTTATTTTTCGCTTTAATCTCAAGAAAATTCTTAAAGGACCATGACATGGTATCATTGGTCAGATTGTGGAAAGTTGCGTGGATGAGTTCTGAAAGATCAATTTTTGTCCAGGACATGAGGTCGACTTTCCTCTCATAATATTCATTTCTTCCACTTTTTCGCTTCATGATCCACATCTTCTTTTCAGCATCGTATCCCTACATGATGATGAAAGAACGATCACCATATTTGTTTGTGAACTTCTTCCAAGTTTCCCTGAAGAACATTTCAGGGTGATCACCCAGAACATTTTCATCTGAATTCTTCATCACGAGCATTTTCTCTTTTAGCTGCTGATGCCTAATTTGCTTATCTCTTCTTTCTTGAGCAAAAAAAGAACCAAAAGATAAGAATGTATTAAAGTTTGCATCTGGAGCAGGTCTTGCATCTTTTTCACTTGAAGATTGTGAAGTTGTATTGGCGAGACCTGAACAAGAAGCAGTGATCTTTTCTCCTTCAGTGCTCAAGGGTTGAAATTCATCACTAAACTTCTGAAATAGGTACTGTTTCATATCAAAGAATAGAGCAGTTAAACCACCAAGATTCGCTTAAAGTTCTGAGATCTTTGAATCTTTATCGGAGTTCTCTTTCTCAAGCTCACTGATTTGAATATCCTACTTTCCAATTACCAAATCTTTTTCAGCAGAGTTTTGTTCCAGATCAAAGACTCTGTTCTGAAGCTAAACGACATCAATAAATTCAGATTCAGGCAACTTGCCTTTGGAGATGTCCAAATCTGGTGTTTCAAATGTGCTTCCTGAAGCTTGAGCTCCTTCTGAAGGTATGAATTCTTCTTCAAAAATTGGGCTTTGAAAAACCTAATCCATAGGAATGGGCTCAGGGAACGGGCTAGGTATTTCTTAAATCACCAGAGAGGTGTCAGTGAATGTGCTTTGTATTTTTTTTAGCCATAGAACCAGGCTCAATCGGTGTAGAATTCTTTTGAACTGTGTCAATGATAAACACTCCCGGCCTTGGATCTCTTCTTTTTCGCTTCCTTGGCAGTAAAGTGTAGGTTGAGTCTTCTGGATCACTTTCAGATGGAGGTTCGGTAGTGACAAGAACTGTTTGGGTAGGTTTCCTTGCAGTTCGCTGAAATTATGCTATGAGAGCATCCATCTGTTCAGGTGTCGATATGGAAGCTTGCACCATTGTGTCACCTTCCTTTTCAGTCACAAACGATGGTGTGATAGTTGCATCCTTTTCTGGGTTTGAGATACTTTGCTGAATAAAGTCTTCAAACTCTTTTTCTGTCAATTCATTTTCTTGATCCTCTTAATCTTCTTCATCATCAGATAATTCAATATCTTCAATATAATAATTGAAACTTTGATTTGGGCGTCACGTGTTCATCGGCAACCTCAACATTTATTGAACCATTGTTGGATTAGGTGTCAACGCTCATAACTATAATTGGTATGTACTTGATCTGAGAGTAGCATGGTCCATTTCGGGTTTAATATCACCAGGACAATTTGATAAGATGGATACTTGAGTAAGAGGTTACTTATGATTTATTAATATATTATAAGTTCTAATATATTAATATAAAATCATGTTATTTAATTAGTATTGATCAAGAATTAATTTGGAATTAATTATATGATCAAAAGAGACTAATTAAATATATGGGGATTGATTTGGTAAATCAATGATTCTTATAGTGTGGGCCAATTGTAATTTAGGATGGGCTAAACCAATATGGTAGTCCATGGATAGTCCATGGAGGTTTAACCCATGAAGCCTAAGTAATATGAAAGGTCATGGGCATTAGGGTTTGTATGGATGTAACCCTAGACTTTGCCAGACTATAAAAGGACTCCCTTAGCACCCAAAATCATATACTAGAGTTCTTGGAAGGCATCACACTTGGGGTGTTATGAACCATTTGATACATCACACTTGGGGTGCTAAGTTCTTCAATGCCAAATACAAAAAGTTCTATAAGCTACATAAAGAGGTAAACTCCTAACTAGTATTTTATGTTGTTTATGTCAAATGTATGCTAGTTGTAGCCTTAGTGCTTTGGAAACAATAATGCATGTATAATTAGAGAAAACATAGATCCAAAGCATTTAGGGTTGTATGTGCGCCATAGGATGTTGTAGTATGCAAAACCCAGTAGTAGTATTGGAGACATAGGTTGTTTTCTGCTATATTGATGAAAATGTTTGATTTTCAAAGTTGAAAAAAAAACATAAAGTTTGTCAAATTTTCATATAATTACATGATTTTATGAAAAACTAATTATTTGTAAAATTTGAGTCATTTTACTACAAAAGTTAAATTAGGTCAATCTATTAAAAGATAGAATGATATGTGTAACAACGAGAATTTTCAAAAAAAATTTTCATTTTTCAAACAACATAAACCATCATTTAATATTCTGAAATCACATGTTTAACAAATGTCATCGTAACAAAATACATCCCAAGACCATAAAACAATTCTTCCGTCAGTGTGTACAGATCACGTCGGCGTCTTCCCACGGTACTCGCTAGTACCTGAAACACATAACACAACAACTGTAAGCATAAATGCTTAGTAAGTTCCCCAAAATACTACTTACGCACATACGCCCTTCCGGGCCCTGACCTTCCGGTCCATGTGTCTCAGGGGACTTCCATCCCGACTCGGTAAACCTTCCGGTCCTACCCGTGTCAACCTTACGGTCCACATCACATTGCCTTCCGGCCCATAACATATACGCCTTCCGACCCATAACATAATGCCTTCCAGCCCATATCAAGCATAACATACATAGCACATACAAACGATTAACTTATCATATACAATGCATACAACTCATAACATATCCAACCTTCCGGTCACACAATAAAACCCTTCAGGGTACAGTATAGTGAGAAAACTCACCTCGTGGAAAGTCTAGAATCTCGCGTGCTCGCTATCTCCGAATCCCAACCCCGCTTAATCATAACGAAATATCATTTTAATTATTATGGACTTCCACAACTAGACTTTATCCTTATTAACATTCCTCGGAGGGCTAATAGACCATTTTACCCTTCCTTGACTCAAAGTCCACATGTTGACCAAAACCCTAAAAGTCAACAAAAGTCAACATCTTTCAGTACGCGGGGCGTACTTTGCTAATCAACAATCGAGGGTTTCCACCCAGTACGCTACGCGTACTCGGAGTTACGCTCGGTGTAACACTCAGATTCAGCCATTCTTCATTTTTGGTCTTAAATTATTAAGACACTTCTTCAACTTCTAGATCCGGCTCTCTTTAAGCCTCCTTACCCATAAAGTCGAAACTTTTAAGCCTTGGCATGGCTGTAAAGGCTCCTACACTCCTTAATACCTTTCCATTTCAACTCAAAAGACCTAGATCTCATGCATGGCTAATCATTCACATCCAAGATTACATTTTTATGAATCTACAACTCAAATGGACCAGAAATATGATGGATCTAAGCCAATGGAGGCTACTTGCTCATAGAGTCTCCATCTTTGGGACCAAAACCCTAGAAAATGGTCCATAAAGCATACCACAAGAACGACAAGTCAAGATCCGAACTTTTTACCTTAGAAAGAAGCTCCAACCTTTTCTATTCACGGATCTACACTTGAACACCAACTTCTAGCCTCCACAATGGACTCCTCTTCTCTTTTGCTACCTTGAAATGACACCACAAAGCTTAGAACACTCACAAACAAGCTAGGAACGAAGGAACAACTCTCTTAGGGTTTCTTTCTGAAGGATGGTGACTGAGGAACCAAGCCATCACATTGCTTTTATAGCCAACCACAAAATTAGGGCTTTTGGGTCTGGACCGGTTACGCCCGGCGTAACCTTGGGTACGCCCGACGTACCCGGGTGATGGTGCATTTAAATAAGGTGCGCGAGTACGCGCAGCGTACTCGCCCAACACATAAGCCCAAAATGACAACATAAGAAAGATGAAGGGCTAATTAGAGGTACCTGAATTTCGGGCTATTACAATTCTCCCCCACTAGAACCAGACTTCGTCCCCGAAGTCTTATACCGAAAACAATTCTGGATACTGCTCCCGCATCTCAGACTCGGACTCCCATGTCAGCTCGGACCCCTTCCGATGCTGCCACTGCACTTGCACCAAGGGTACTTCCTTGTTGCTCAGAACCTTAACCTTTCGATCCCTAATTGTCAATGGCCTCTCAACATAGTTCAGGCCTGCATCCACCTAAATATCCTCTAATGGTACCACTGTCGACTCATCGGCAATACATTTCCTCAACTGCGACACATGAAAGGTGTCGTGGATCTAACCCAACTCAGTAGGTAGATCCAACGGTAGGCTACCTTGCCTACCCTAGAGATTACCCTGAAAGGTCCAATATATCGAGGTCCCAACTTGCCCCTCTTCCTGAATCGAAGTACTCCTTTCCAAGGAGAACCCTTTAAGAGCACAAGGTCACCAACCTGAAACTCGAGCTCGGACCGACGCCTGTCCACAAAACTCTTCTGGCGACTTTAAGCGGTCAACAATCTCTGCCTGACCTACTGTATCTGCTCGGTCGTCTGAAGCACAATCTCCGTACTACCCATTTCCCGCTGCCCTACCTCTCCCCAGCATATGGGGGTTCGACACCTCCTCCCATACAACAGCTCAAAGGGCGGCATACCAATGCTCGAATGATGGCTGTTGTTGTACGAAAACTATGATAAGGGTAAATAGGTGTCCAAACTCCCTCCAAAATCCAAAACACACGCTCGGAGCATATCCTCGAGCGTCTGAATCGTTCGCTCACTCTGTCCATCCATCTGCGGGTGGTATGCGGTACTGAAATGCAGCCTCGTACCCAACTCCTCGTGAAACTTCTTCCAAAACCTGGAAGTAAAATCGTACATCCCGATCTGAAACGATCGACATCGGCACCCCGTACCGCGATACCACCTCCCTCACATATAACTCTGCCAACTTCTCCGCAGAAGAGCTCTCACTGATAGCAAGAAAATGAGCGCTCTTCGTCAATCTATCCACAATCACCCAAATTGCATCGACCCCTCTCGCAGTCCTTGGCAATTTGGTGATAAAATCCATGGTAATCTGTTCCCACTTCCACTCGGGGATCTCCAGCGGCTGCAACTTACCATGCGGATGCTAGTGCTCGGCCTTAACCTGACAACAAGTCAGGAACCTCTCGACGAACCATGCAACATCCCTCTTCATATAGGGACACTAATACTCATTCTTTAGGTCCAAATACATCTTAGTAGCCCCGGGGTGGATCGAGAACTTCGATCGATGCGCTTCTTCCATCAAAATAGTACGCGTCCCGCCCACAAACGATACCCAAATCCGACCCTGGAATGTCATAAGTCCCCACCATCAGTAACGAATTCCGATACCTACCCAACAACCCTCTCTCTCCTTTGGTTTTTTGGTCTCGCAGCCTCAGCCTGGGCCCCTCGAATGGTGTCCAAAATCGGAGTCATCACCGTCAACCTCATATAAACGTCTCGCATCGGGGCGCTCTCTGCCCTACGGCTCAACGTATCGGCTAC